AAATCTTCTTTCTAGAGTGAAAAATATATCCATGAAGAAGTGTGATCATTGCTTGGTAGAGAAACAAACCAGAGTTGTATTCAAGACAACCCTTTTATCAAGAAAGTCAGGTATACTTGATTTAATATCTTCATTGTATTTGATGCAAGCAAAGGTATTTGATTTCATTATCAATGCAGTAGATAATGATGATATAACTAAGTTTTGGCACAAGTGACTTAGTTACATGAACGAGAAAGGTTTGAAAGTTTTGGCTAAGAAAATCTTCTTTCTAAAGTGAAAAATATATCCATGAAGAAGTGTAATCATTGCTTGCTAGAGTAACAAACCAGAGTTGTATTCAAGATATCCCTTCTATCAAGAAAATCGGGTATACTTGATTTAGTATATTTTGAGGTTTATGGTCCTATAAGAACAAAAACACTCAGTGGTTTCATCTATTTTGAGACTTTTATAAATGATCATTCTAGGAAAATATAAGTTTATACCTTGAAATAAAAAAATTCAAGTGTTAGATGTGTTTAAATAATTTCATGCTTTGGTTGAAATACAAACAAGGTTGAAATTAAAATACATAAAGATTGATAATGGGAGTGAGTGCACTGAACCTTTTGATGAGTATTATAGATAGCAGGGTATTTGGCATCAAAGATCAGCTCTTAAAACTTCTCAGTTGAATGGATTAATTGAGAGGATAAACAAGACACTAATGGAAAGAGTGAGATGTTTGCTTTTACAAGCATAATTATCAAAATCTTTTTGGGGTGAGACTTTGAATATAGTTGTACATGTTTTGAACCTCTCACTATATGTTCCTCTAAATTTTGATGTTTCAAATAGAGTTTGGTTAGGTGAGAATGTGTCCTATGATCATTTGCACACCTTTGGATACAAGACTTTTGTATATATTCTCAAAGATGAGAGGTTTAAGCTTGATGTCAAGATTAGACAGTATGTGTTTCTTGATTATGGTCAAGATGAGTTTGGCTTTAAGTTTTATGATCCAGTGCAGAAAAAACTTGTGAGAAGGAGAAATGTTATTTTTGTTCAAGACTAGACCATACAAGATATTCAGAAGATTGATATATTAGTTTCATGATGCAATGATGGTTTGATTGACTTGGATCTAGTTAATTTAACACATATGCCTATAGAGGTTGAAGATGTTGAGGATAACCAACAAGATACAAGTGATGTTGATACTAGTCCTACACAAGTTGAGGTGGGTGATAATACTCATGAACAGTCATCAGTATCAGAGGTTCAATAAGAGATTTTACTAGAAGTTTCACTGAAAAGGTTTATTAGAAATCAACAGCCTTTCACACGATATTCTATTGATAAGTATGTGCTATTAACTGACGGGAGAAAACTCATATGTTATGTAGAAGCCAAGGAACATGAACACAAGAAATAATGGGTTGATGCCATGCAAGATGAGATGAAGTCTTTGCATGAAAATAATACTTTTGAACTAGTAAAGCTACTTAAGGAAAAAAGAGCTTTAAATAATATATGGCTATATAAAGTGAAGTAAGAAGAACACGTTTCACAGCCACATTTCAAAGGTAGATTTGTTGTCAAGGGATTCAGTCAAAAGAAATGTATTAACTTTGATGAAATCTTTTTTCTTATTATTAAGATGTCATCTATTCATGTGGTTCTAGGTTTAGCAGCTAATCTTGATTTGGAGATTGGGTATATAGATATCAAAACTGCTTTTCTCTATGGTGACTTGAACAAAGAGATTTATATGGAGAAACTAAAGGGCTTCATAGTAAAAAAAAAAGAGAATTTTATGTGCAAGCTGAAGAAAAGTCTTTATGGGTTGAAACAAGCACTAAGACAGTGGTATAAGAAGTTTGAGTCAGTTATGGGTGAGCAAGACTACCGAAAAACTACTTCTGACTATTGTGTATTTGTGCAAAAATTCTTTGATGATGATTTTATCATATTCTTATTACTTTATGTTGATTACATTTTGATTGTTGGTAAAAATGCTTCTAGAATTGACTAGTTGAAAAAATAACTGAGTATAATCTTCTTGGGGCCAACAAGCAAATTCTTAAAATTTAAATTTATCGAGATGGAGCAATCAAGAAATTGTACATGTCATAAAAGTACTATATTGAAAAGGTGCTTGAAAGGTTTAAGATAGATCAAGCTAAAGTGGTTAGCTCTCCTCTTGCTATATACTTTAAGCTAAGTATTAATCAATGCCCTTTTATAACTAAAGAGAATAAAAACATAAGAAAAGTTTCATATGCTTTAGTAGTAGGAAGTTTGATGTATGTAATGGTGTGTACTAGGCCAAACATAGCCCATGCAGTTGGTATTGTTAGCCACTTTTTGTCAAATCCAGAAAAAAAGTATTGGAATGCAGTTAAGTATATTATGAGATATCTACAAGGCACTTCCGACTTGAGACTCACTTTTGGAAGTAAAATACCAGTGCTAGTCGGCTACACTAATTTAGATATAGCAAGAGATGTTGATTCCCAAAAGTCTACTTCAGGTTATTTGATTTCATTATCAGGGGGACTGTATCTTAGTAATTGATACTACAGAAATGCGTTGCACTTGATGTGAGATACCACTGGTTAAGAGATGCTCTCAATAATAACTTGTTTGGACTTAAAAAGATTCATACTGATTACAATTGTTCTAATATGTTAACAAAGACATTATCAAGGGAGAAGCTTGAATTTTATTGTTCGATCACTGGAATGGTGATTCTCTCTACATAGTCGAAAAGGGGAAGATTTGTTAGGCAGTGTTTCCTTCATATAGAGGTGGCTTAAAACTAAAGCCCATTTACCAAGGACTTTTTAGTCCTTTCATGCTTGGTTATAGGATTTTAAACTCGTGTAACGGCAAAATTGAGAAAAAAAAGAAAAAAGAAAATTTTGTGTAGTTCCGATCAAGTAGTTTGATCGAGGTCAATTCGTTGTTCGATTGAGCTGAAATTTTATCAGTGTGTTCATGACTCATTATTCTTCAGTCTGAATGGGGGAGATTGGGTTTCAAGTTTTCTATCTACTAATTTCATAGGTATTTATTAATTTTTAAATTTGCTAAAACTTCTCCAATTTTCTCTTGCAAGATTGTTTCTTTACCAAGAATGTTTAATTTTGAGTTATTGTAGTTGTATGTCTCTAGTTCTAGCTTGAGAGAATTTTGTATTCTCATTATTTTGATAGTAGAGATTATTTATTGCTACCTATAATTTTTACTCCTCATTTTGGGAAGGTTTTCCACGTAAATTGCTTGTGTCTTTGTGTTTGTGGTTTGGTGATTTATTTGTTAGCTCTATTTATTTGATTTCTGCTAAATTCACACAAGAGACGGATAATTTGATTTTTCGCTGCGTAACATATTCGGTTTGAATATTGTTTGAGGTTATTTTATCCCATCATTTTTTAACTTGTAACAACAGAAAAGAACTTCAACTTCCCTACAAGCATATTGCTTGAACTGATTCTATCCTTTGTGTATTATAACTCATTCCTTGTGCTGCATGCTATAAGATATTTTCTTTCTTCAAAATACAAGTTTCAACCTCTAGTAGTCTAGATTTTATGATAAAAGTTGAAAAGCTCTAGAGTAATTGTCAAGCAAATCTTATACTATATATATGACACTTAAACATGTTCTCTTTTGCCTTATAAAGACAAGCCATTCATACTAGACCCATCAGACTCAAAAGTTGAGTTCCTGTGTTTTGACAAAATTCTGATTAAATTTTATATTAGCAGAGGGTAGTGCAACCTAGACATATCTTTCTCCCATAAAAATTACACATTTGAAAAATGCTAACATGCACATGGATGGAGAGAACTCATTCCACTTGTTTAAATTTTATTGGTTTTTATTTGTAGTCTCCTCTCCTCTCTTATAGATATATTCTATGTTGATCTTTTCAGTTATATCCCACTGACCCCAAAATAGAGGAGGCTACTTTACATATTCTGAAGTGTATAAGTTTTAGTGACCTTTAAGGAGCTATTAAAAAAATTTTGAAAGAACAATTGGAGATAACGTGATTGGATATCTGCGGGCCTTCTGAAACATAAAATATTCCAAATGCTAAATGATTGTTACAAGGATAAATTATCCTACCACACAGAAAGGTTCTTTTTATTTAAAAAATAAGAACAAGAAAAAGGCTAAGGATAGAGACTGTCTTTATCAAGACTGCACAACCATGTCTAAACCTGTTTCATTGTCAAAAGAAGATTGAAGAAAGGCTACATCTTTCTATGTACATTTTGCCTCCCAATATAAAAAAAAATGATGAAGTATGTCCTATTGCTTGATGTGCTATTCTATTCCCCTTTGAACTGATGTTAATTATGTTGCGAAATGAAGCTAAAAACCTGGAGCAAGAACAAACTAGAAGAATCACTAGAACTCCAGAGTATAGAAAGAATAATGCTTCAAGAATCCATATGTTGAAAAGGAGTCTAACTGTTCTAAAACAATTAAATAAACTTAACATGTTTATATCTAGACTTTGTCATTGACTTAATCAGATGGCTAGATGAAACATGTTTAAAGCCAATATATATAATTTCATTCAAGTGAATTAGCTTCTTCCTTTTCCTCTATTCAGGCAGTATTCATTGCATGCTGAGACTTCCAATTTGCAAATTGATTAAAGAAACACGGGTGTTATCCTCATCAAACTGAATTAAAACATAATTTGCAATAGATTGCCAAGACAGCTCATGCTTCAGAGGCAAGGAAAGAATTAATATTCACCATGAATGTGTCCAGGTATTCTAAATTAATTGGGCCATGATAAGCAGCTCACCATTGTTTTCTACACATCTAAAACAAGATTCAGATTGCTAACTTTGACATGAGCATTATGTTGTAGCCTTGTAGGGATAAGTAATATGCCCATTTTTTGCCCTCCATTTCCTCGATCATGTGCATCTTATTTGAATGAAAATGAAAAAGGGAAGACTCAACACAATCTCTCAACCTTTCAGGAAGAACACAATTGATCATATATATATTTAGAGTTTGATAGAGTTTACATCTTTAATGATCAACATTTCAAGAGCAAAGTACATGAAGTTTGAGATTCTTTGATGATAAGAATCCAGTACAACAAGATTAATCTACAAACAGCAATAATCAGCTAAATTCATATATATATTTGAGGGTTTTTTACTCTATTTTGGTGTTCTTTAGCTGTGGACCTTATGAAGAATTAGGTGGAGTATACTCACAGACTTCCTCAGTTTCTACTTCCCTTCTGTGAAAGTTTCTATGGCAACCACAAGCCGCGCATGTTAGAGCCCCAGTCGTCCCCTCCGCGCTGCTTGCCATGAACTCCCGGCAGCCATCCACAGCATATCCTCCAATATTCGCCGCGTGATTCTTCTGGCACTCCCCATATCTCACGTTTCTAATCACTGAAGACGAAGTACTGGAACTTCTTCCAATTTTCAGCACCACTTGACGTTTCTTCATCCCTTGGAAACCCTAGTTCCTCTCTACAATTTGATGGAAATGTACTGTACTGTAGTAGCTGTAGTGGTACTAGTTTCTTGGCAATGGCTTTCTCATCCAACCCCAGAAGCGAGCAAGAAGAAAAAGCCAGCTCTCTCCTTGTTAATTAAGCTACGAAAGGAAAACAGAAAAATTAAGAATAGAAAAGAAAGGAAAGCTACATAGCTTTATGCGGTTTGATGGCTAACCCTAACCCTAGCATATGTATATTTATAAGGCCTCGGTGGCACATCTCTAGTCCATGGAAAGGGCCATCATCACCCTCTTTGCAACGTGTAGCATTCAGATCAAGAATGGGATTGAGAGCGAGATAGGTGAGTGGAGGAAATCCTTGTCCTTACACAAAAAAGTTGGACGTGCCCTATAATTATCTTTGGAAATGATGTTTCAACTGCCTTTGAAGATAATAGGAGGGACCTGTACATGGAAGTGTGGCACATGGAATATATATTGCCAATTTTGTGCAAATAGAAAAAGCTCTAATTAATTTGATGAAATGTAATGGCTTTATGACCAAAAACAGTGATGAACGATTAGTAAAAAATGGAGCAATTAACTAAAATGGTAGCTTGTTTTAATTAATGAGAGTGGGTCAGAGGTGATGCTGAAAAGGCAGGTTGCTATGGCCCTTGGAACTGTGCCAACTACTCCTGTCTAGTTACCAAGATTCTAATAATCAGGACCACTGAGTGCCCAGCCCACCATGTATGAATGAACCACTCTCGATCGATCCCCTCTCCCTTTGCATCATATCAATGAGGACAATCATATCTTTACAAAATTTCACCATCAATAAGATGCCCTTCAAATCCTTTAGTTCGAAGAAATAAAGTTTGGGAATGGATATCTCTCAGAGAACTCTATAGTCTTCAGGAATTATAAGATGATGAACTAGAAAGAAAATTATGAATGCATGAAACTTGTGGGAGGGAGAGATCGAGTCGAGGCTTTAGCCCACAGTCCAAAAGCTAGTATAGAATCAAAATGTGTAATTTCCAATCATACTGTCGTGTATTAGCTAGTGGACTTTGTCGGTTGAATTGTGCATGACAAAACAAGGGAAAGTGACTAAATAATGGAAATTTTTTGCTGCTCTTTATCAATAATCAATGCATGCAAAAAGCAGCCATGAAAACCCGGAGTTTGGCTCTAAAATAGTGTCCCCCTAGGGGTGACCTACCATAGAGTGGGGGAACCCCTAAACCCCAGGGGGTCTTATCTCTTCAAACTCTATATATTAATTAGGAAAATAAAAAGAGGAAAAATTCTCCACCAAAAAAATTAAAGCAAAAGGAAGAGACAAGTACGCAATGGGGTGGTCAATCAAAGTGATGTACATGATTTGTGACCTTCGTGGAGAAGAGAGGAGAAACACAGGCACGTATGGATGTTAATCCAAAACACGTGCGAGTAAATTAATTATTATCAATATAATATAAATTATTGTGATCATTATCATAATCATAATTAAATTTCGCTGTCATATATTATTGTGATCATTATCATATTAAATTTAGCTGTCAAAATGTCAAATGAAAATCTTTAACCCCAAACGAAAAAAAAAAAAAAACTTATGGAAAAATCAATTTAAACATGAAAAATTATCTGTTTGTTGTCCGAAATTTTTAAATTTCATTAATCGGTTAATAAAGTAGGCACATATATATCTGTAGAGCGTATTTAAAAAATAAAACATGTGATAAAGTTTCAACTTAATACATCAACATTATATAAAAAATAAAACCTTAGTTTAAATAGAACAAACATATAGTATGCAGGCTTTATGCTGTTGAGGACATTTATTAAAAAAAAAAAACATTATTATTAGGTGTTGCAAAACAGTTACACTGTTTTAGAATGTTGGGAAGAAGAGTCAAAGTTATATAAACATCATCACTCACACACTCTCTCTCTCTCATTATATATATATTGAGAAGAACTATTGAACATATTAGTATACTCTAAGAGGAATAAGTGTCTGTCAGTACAATTTTTGGCTTTTCAATGGGCTAATATTAAAAATGGAATGAAAATGTTGTGAATGCTTAGTTATTTTTGTCAAAACATCTTAAAATAACTAAATATTGTAATTTCTACTCTCCTCCATGGTGCTGCATCCATGTTTTTGGATTTTAGTACCAACATATCATGGTTATGTTCTTTATTATGGAAAAAAAAAAAACCAACGGTTTGATGTTATTCAATGCTCACAATAACTGAATTTTTGTGAACTGTATAAATTCATCGAAAAAAAAAAAGAACTAAATAAATTCAGACGTTTAATATTTTCAAAAAGTCAATTAACAAATGATCACTTAAAAATTAATTATACAAGAAATATTGTTTTCATGAATAGTATTTTTTATACAAAGGAAATCACAGCTTAAAAATAAAAATAAAAATACTAAGAGTAGTGAGATTTAAACTTTGAACATATTTGATGTTATTTTATAAGAGTAATTGTATGAATCAACTGAATTAAATAATAAATATTTTTAAAAATGATACTTAATAAATATTTATAAAGACTAATTTGACAATTAAACACACACATATATATATATTTATCTATCTTATTTTTCACGTAATAGAATATGAAAATTAAGAGATGGGATAAGTATGTTCCGGATGGATTAAAGTGGCTGATGATGGGGAATGAATGATTGTAAATTTGGGAGGGTTTATGATGAGACAGTTTGCCACTCACCAACCGAGCCAAACTTGTGAAGCTTATAATAAAACTGAGGATCTTATATATATATATACTTTATTTTTAGACAATGTTGAGTGTTGACTCAGAAAAGAAAAAGTTTAGCTTGAAACTTTGAATAGATTGATGCAATTTAGCCTATCAAATGAGTTGATGCAACTTTATCAAAAATGAAAATTTTAGCATAGAGACCTAAACCCACTAACTTTCCACTCACGAATTAACTGATCAAGAAACCCACTAAGCTATTTGATATAGAAAGCAATATTTTCCCAGAAAATAATAAACACTCACGAATTAACTGAAGAAACATAATGATTAGGAGTAAAAGACACTAGATATATAAAATTTCAATTCTTGTACAAAGTCAGGAAGAATGTATTACTATTAATTAGTAGTAAAAGACAAATGAAGGTTTAATATCAAAGTTCAAAAAATTACCCATTCTTGATTCTTCTTCCTCTAAAATTTTGCTGGGAAAGTGTTCGAAGTGCGAAAGGACAGTGACAGATAGAGAAGAAAACTGATCGATAGAGCAAAGTAACGGATAGAGAAGAATCAGAAGATTGATTCACCAATCTTGAAGGCTGAAGCAACTTTCCATTGGTTTCTAATTACTAGAGATTAGGGTTTTTAATTTCCTAATCTACTCTTGAATTCACAAATTCCATATTTACTTGGGAAAGAGAGCATTACACCTCGAACCTTGGTCACCTCCCAGTGAAGAAGACCTCGTGGAGCTAAACTCAGATGGAAGAGATTAGGGTTTTTAGTCTTGGGATTTTGGGTTAATCTTGATTTTCCTTTGTTTTTTCTCAAAAAAAAAAAAAAAAAAAACGCCATGGTGTCATTTTTAGATAGAGCACACATCAGCAAAGTTTTTTTTTTTTTTTTTTTATAGACTTGCATTAGCAAAGTTAATAACCATATCAACAAAATTGAATTGATATTAACATATGATTAAAGTAAAAATATTTAATTTACACCAATTATATTGTAAGAATTAACTCTCAAATTTTATGTGAGTAAATAGATTAATTGCATGATTTGATTCTTTTAATTGAGCATATCTAAAGTAACTTTTTTTTTTCCAATATCTAAAGTAATTAATTAATTCCAAGACTTTAATATCAAGACTTTCTCTCTTATGGACAATTTTATTGACAATGACAAAATCGGACGAAATTAGTTTCCAATGGCATATTATTAAATATGAAGAATCATTAATTTACTGCTAAATCAGAATTTGTTTTTCTTTTTTCTCTCACTAAAGAGTAAAGCCTTCATCATTCATACTTACATCATCCTCACGTTCAATCCCTTATATTTCAAATCTTTAATTTTATCTCATAATTCTTCAACTTGTAATGGTCTTATAATTTTATAATTTTTTGCTCAAAAAGAAAAGTCCTATAATTTAATCCCCAGCTCTCTGAAATTGATTTATTATCTCCTGCTTCTTAATTTTTTTTCATCATATACAATTATATGGTATATGATTTTGGTTTCCTTGATTTGAAAGGTATATTCCTCGTTACGTTTGATACTTATTATTATTATTATTATATTTCACTTGGTTTAATTCTAATATAGAGCCGATTTAAAAAAAAAAAAAATTCTTACATATAGAGCCTAGAGGCCATTGCATATTTGAAAAAAAAAAATCGATCTTACTTGGATCATGAACTTAAAAGTTAGAACTTTCATTCTTTGAAGGTTGAATATGCCTTTAAAATTTTCAATATGTTCAGTCTTCAAGACACAATGGTATGACCTGGTGGGGTTTTTATATATTTATTTTCATATTTTTTGTACCATATATATTCATTTATTTTAATTACATTTTACTCTTGCAGACTTAGGGTTTGGGCTTTTGGCCATCCAAAGCACACATAGGACTTGGTAAATATAGTTTGACCTGGTTTGTGATAAATGATATATTACAGGAAATCTTTATACCATTCTAAATTGCTAATTAAGCCCGTCAAATTTATGAAACTACATTTCCTGTAATTAAATTCGGACAACTTCATTTCAAAGTTTATTGTTGACGATCAAAATAATCTATAAATTGAGCCGAGGGATTAAGCCTAAAAAATAAGTAATTAAGTTCAACCCAAGCCCAATAATTATTCAGCATTGGATTAACAGTCAAAATAATTAGTCATTTACTAGTTAATTAAAACCCAAATATGTTTAGAATTAATTGGGTTATAACTAGAAAAAGTAGAGTTTTTGTTTTCTTTTTTTTTTTTTTTCAAATTTTACTTGTATAAATATGTGTTTCAAAAATACAAAACGATTTTGAGAAACTACAAACACAATGCAATTACGTTTATCTTATAGTTTTATTACAATTTATCGTATCTTTCAACACATTTAGCTTATCTTTTGGTATACTATCTTTACACTTCATGCACTTAAATTTGTTTTAACATGGTAAAATATTCAAGCTTTTTTTCTATGTCGTCTATTCTCTTTCTTGCTTGAGGTATTAAAGGTGAAAACCATTTGGTCGCTTAAATAGTGAGATTGCTATAAGATTTT